GCAGCAGGGAAAATTATTGAAATTTTTTTTAGCAGTAAGCCTTTTTTCTTATTTTAAAAATCTAGCCAAGCATATTTTCCTTTGAGTTAAGCTAAATATGAAACACAAAGACTTGTGATTTGCTTTTAAGTTTCACAGGGCAAAGCAGATGATACTCTGGGTATAATACATTGTTTTTGACAAAGCTACTTCCACGGAAGACTGCTGCTTTTTTTTTTTTTTTAAGATTTTATTTATCTGACAGGGAGAGACACAGCGAGAGAGGGAACACAAGCAGGGGAAGTGGGAGAGGGAGAAGCAGGCTTCCCACAGAGCAGGGAGCCCGATGTGGGGCTCATCCCAGGACCCTGGGATCATGACCTGAGCCGAAGGCAGACGCTTAACAACTGAGCCACCCAGGCACCCCAAGACTGCTGCCTTCTTGTCAATCTCTGAGCAGGAAGGAAATGACTAGTAATGAATGATAATAGTTGATCTGAAACACAGAAGAGTTTTAGTTTTAGGTTTTTGGGTTTTTTTTTTTAAATGTTCAGCCCATCATTTTTTTCCCCCACAATTTACTACATTTATTCTAAAGAACATTGCATCAGCCTCAAAGATATGAGTATTAGTGGTGCTTTCCCACTAATCATACAGCATAGAGAGTTAGTTTGGCATAATTTCTTTCAGCAGCAAATTCATCATCACTAATACCTAAAACGGATAATGACCCTTATTTATTGTTAAATTAGATGTTCATAAAATAGAAATCCTCCGGGTCTTTTGAAGTTTGTTATTGATAATGTTGTTTCTCAGGCTTGTCTCTATCCCCAAATCATGGGAAACTAGGGGTTTGGAATGAAAGTTTATGTAAAAAGAACAAGTCTGCAAAAGGCAAATGAACATGATAATGAAGTTTGATGTTTTCAGTTTGGAGTTTGATAATTTCAATTAAATAGATTCTATAGTTAGCTTCTGACTATGGAAATCAGAAGCAGAAAATTTTTTAAATTCTGTTTCCTCCCCATATATTATTTTGGTACTTTTCAGTATATATGGCTCACAGACTCTCTGATGATGCAGTGTTTGTTATTTTTTATTAATAGGATTATTTCATAAGACTCTTTTATAGCTTTTGTGGACTCCCGTAATATGTGGCAACACTGCTCACTCTTAAGTGCTTCAGAGAGTCATGGGGAGAAAATAAACAATTCATGACTTTTATGCAGATGTTGCTCAAAACTACAAGACTACCTGACATCTTCGCTTAGAATTTTTAGATATGTAACACACTGAGGAATTGAACCACCTCTTTATAATACTTATGAATACATACTTATAAGTTAGCCTTTTCCAGTATTTATTTGTTTACCTCCATCTTCTTCCCAGAAGTAGGAAAAAGGGCAGGGTGGGGCAGAGGAAACAGGGTAAAAATCAGAACTACCAATTTCAACTTTTTCTCACTTGCAGAGACTGCTATCAGTAGGTGGTATATAGCAGGGCTATTCCAGACATCCAGGCATGCCCACATAAAGCAAACAAATGTTCACTGGAATAAATAACCTATATGAGGCCTAGTACCTGCAAACTTTTAACAGTGCCTATGGTAGTTTTGATCTTTCATTATCCCTTGATTTATAGTATGTAAATACAGGATGAAGTCTGGCTCATGGTACAGAAGATAGAATAAAAAATGTTTTGGGGGAATATAAAACCTGTTTTTATGTGACATTTTAATAGTGATAAAATCATACTTTATTTTGAAGTAAAGTATTTGCTCATCCTGATGCAGAAAGCACTTATGTTTAGCACAGTAGAAATAGCAGTTTAATTTGTGCCATGACATACACTGTGAATATCAGTCTTTGCTGTATCAGTCATCCACTAAGAGTTTTCTGTTTCTGTCATGAAATCATCTTTTCAAATGCAAAATGGCGATAATTGAAAATTTTATTGTGCTGCTTTCTTTTCCTTCTCTCTCCCTCTATGATTGATAATTGCCTAACTTACTGACATAAAAAATGTGAAGGGAATAAAACTCTTATTTTTGTTAATAGCACTTAAAGTAGTAGTGATGTTTCTTATTGATTGTGATTTAAAAATGTCCTGCAGGGGCACCTGGGTGTCTCAGTAGGTTAAGCGTCTGCCTTAAGGGTATGTCCTGTAAGTCTCTTTGAAAACACTCAATAAATATTCAGTTTATTTATTTTTTAAGATTTTATTTACTTATTAGAGAGAAAGAGCACAAGCGGGGGGAGGGGCAGAGGGAGAGGGAGAAGCAAGCTCCCCACTGAGCAGGGAGCCCGACACAGGGCTTGATCCCAGGATGCCAGGACCCGAGATCATGACCTGAGCTGAAAGCAGATGCTTAACCAATTGAGCCACCCAGGTGCCCTTCAATTTATTTTTTTAATTTGTAGTTTTTAGAATAATTTTAAACCATACCTAATTTAGGAAATGAGACATTTAGGGTTAATAAAAGTAAAGTGCTGATTTTTTTTCTTGAAGTGTGTACAAGAAAGAGAAGAACAAATCAAAATATTACAAGAAAAGATCACTGAAATACAAAAATGTACTCAAGAACAACTTGATGAAAAATCTTCACAACTAGATGACATAATTGAAAAACTGGAAAGACACAATGAAAGAAAAGAAAAACTAAAACAACAGTTGAAAGTAAAGGAGTTAGAACTTGAAGAAATTAGAAAAGCTTACAGGTATATAGTATTTCCTGTTGAGAAATAAAATGTGGCTAAATAATTTCATATAACCAGTTTTATTTTTTAAATTGTTTTTTTTTTTTATATTAGTACACTTAATCAGAAATGGCATGATAAAGGAGAGCTTCTAAGTCATCTTGAAATGCAAGTAAAAGAAGTGAAAGAAAAATTTGAAAACAAGGAAAGGAAACTTAAAGCAGAAAGAGACAAAAGTATTGAACTACAAAAGTAAGCACTAAGTCCCAAAGTATGTGGGAGATCTTTAAACATAAACACTGAATTGGGATGGGTGAGGTAATGTAAAAAGAAGGACAGAGAAAAGGACTAAACACATGTTGGACTTAGTTATTTGCAAAGTAATTTACTTCCATTCTATCTATAAAATATAGATAATAGTTCCTACCTCCAATGTCTGATGTGAGGTTTAAATTTTGTGTATATGTATATTCATGTATATATATGGCTTGTATGAGTTACTTCGTGCCTGACACATAATAATTGCTGTGGAAAAATACTAATTATACTCTATAGAAAGTTTTAATTGATAATACAGTTACTTGTTTGTCTGCTAACAGACCCTGTTCCACTTTGCTTTCAACCAGCAATAATACAGGGACTTTGGCTTGGAACCTGTTGTAATTTTCTCTCCTGCCTGTCATAATTTGGAGTCTTTTATATCCTAAAAGAAATAATCATTTCTTTTTTTTTTTTTTAAGATTTTATTTATTTATTTGAGAGAGAGAATGAGAGAGAGCATGAGAGGGAGGAGGGTCAGAGGGAGAAGCAGACCCCCTGCTGAGCAGGGAGCCTGATGGGGGACTAGATCCCGGGACTCCAGGATCATGACCTGAGCCGAAGGCAGTCGCTTAACCAACTGAGCCACCCAGGTGCCCAGAAATAATCATTTCTGATAAATAGCAGTTCCTAAACTTTAATATAAATCATAAAGCCTGATAGTTTTCAGAATCTCTTATATTACATTGTTTATTGTTGTGTTAATCACAAAACAGTAAAGATCTGATTTTTTTTTATTTTACACATTAATGCTTTTATGACTAAGATTAGTATATATGATTTTTGACTTAATAGAATTTTAAGAAAAACATTTATTTATATAGCTTTTTATGATATGTAAATTGATTTTTTTTCTTATATCTTAATTTGAACCCAGCAGTAGTTCTGTGAGGTTGGCAGAGCAGGTAGGATTATCCTGTTTTATAGTTAGTTGAAAACTTAAATGCAGAGTTTGTGACTTGCCCTTAAGTCATATGGCTACTAAGTGTTACAACTGGGAATAAAAAAGACTTGATTCATGGACCCTAATGTTCAATCCATTATTACTATGGGCTATACCAAAAGCAGAAAATGTGTTCATTATGGACTTAACTTTTTTAATAAAATTATTCACATTTAATATAAAGGAATTGGTTCTGTGCCTATAAGAAACTTTTAGCAATAAATTTTGTGAATACTATTTAATGTCTTTATTAACATAGAGTATTATCGGTTAAGCATTAACATAGAGAAGTCAGACATACAATACATATTCATAAACTTAAACCTTCCTATAGTGTATACCTCTCAAATTAGCATACTACAAACCGATGGGGAAAAAAAGGTTGATAATAGTCATCTGTGAATGTGCTTATAAATCATTAGACTCAAAATAAATGAGAACTCAAGTACTCTAACTTTTAGAGGGTGAAAGTGTAACAAATTTTCATTGATTTTACCCTACCTTGTTGTGTTACTAACAGATTCCACTGGATGATGAACCCAAGATAGCCCTTTGCCACTTAATGGAGTTATACTTCCATGAAAATATGAATATAAGAGTTGCCATCTAAGAAGAAAAAAAATCCTAATTTTTATGCACAAAGATACATAGTTTTTGTTTTATTTTTAAGGGATGCGGTGGAAAAGCTTCATAGTATGGATGATGCCTTTAAAAAACAAGTTGATGCAATTGTTGAAGCTCATCACGCTGAAATAATACAACTGGCAAGTGAAAAGCAGAAATACATTGATTCTGCAAATTTAAAGGTACTATAAATAAAAAGTACAATCCATCATTATTTTGGAAAAAGTTTCCAAAGAGTATTTTATTAATTAGGGTTTTAGACTATCACTGATGGTATTGAATGATATCATTTAATATCATTGACAGAGGAACTTATTAGGGTGATATTAAATCAGAGGTAGACATCAGAATCACCTATAGAGCTTTTTAATAATACACATGCATGAGCTTCCCCCTCAGAGACTTTCATTTCCTAAGTCTCTGGTTAGACCTAGGTGTTTTTAAAACACAACAGGTAACCCCTGTTTGGTTTGATACAACCCGTCTGTTGAGATCCACTAGGTGAGTGGACAGTTAGAAATTTCCATTTTCCCTTGATTCTGAAGCAGCAGTAAGAAACTGAGATATCTGTGAGACAGAGATTGAAAATCTGCTAACTGGGAAAGAGTTCATAAACAGAAAGAGTAACTCCATATAATTATAATGACAGTTGTGTGATTAGTTGACATAACCCTCAGGAGTCTGTGTGAAAAAAAAAAGCAACAAGGTCTTTGGAAATAATGACAATAAATAAGGAAGTATAACTTGTTCAAAATGTAGTTCTTTATTTTATTCCAGGTCAACAGATGTTTCAGAAGTTTTCTTTATAATCTACCAAGTGTTAACAAGGGTGCATCAGGTAATACCAAATGAAGCATAAGATTAGGTCCTTAGCTGAAAGGAAAATATTGAGTTTAATTTTGGACCTCTGGTGCCAATATGGTGTAATAGCAAAGGGATGTTAGAGAGTTACAGAAATGGCACCAGGGCTTACGTGTGATAATCGTGAAAAAAAATTACAAATTATTACATAAAGATGATAATTTAAATTAGGAGAAATACAGTTTTCTAGGGAAAAAGACTAGGAAGTCTGTATTAGAGATTCAGAAGAGGGAAGTAAACAGAAAGGAATGGTCATATTGATAGCATTATTAGGAATGTTGTGTCATAGAGAGAGTTTCAAGCAAAAATTAATAGTATACAATACAGAGAATCCTAGGAGAATATAGGTTAGGAAGGAATGATAAAATTATCTCTCAAAAAGATGGTAATTTATAACCAACAGGAATTTTAGAAATGCAGTAGACCAGATTAAAGCGTTTCTTTGGGAAGGGAGGTTATCTCAGTTTTAAAAGTCTATAAGGAACTGATGTTTTAGTTGAACTCATGACTCCTCATTCATACATAGCACAGGACAGTGGAAAGATTAAGTCAGAAGACTGAGTTTCTGTTCATATGTGCTACTGAGAAACTGCACAACCTTGAACAAATTTTCTAAGCTCTAAAATACAGTTAAGATAAATGACCATGTGCTCATAAGAATCTGTGAGATCTAGACAATATTAAATGTAAGTACTTTGTGTACAGTATTAGTATTTGAACAAGTTACATTATACATACCTCTTTGCTTTAAATGAATACCACAAGTTACAAAATTCTAAGAGTGAAGTTTGACTTTTTCTTTCATTATGCATTTTTAAAATACATTTTCTTTAAAAAATTTAAATGCAAAATTTACATGTTGATTTAGGTTCATCGAGTTGAAGAAGAAATGCGTGAACTTCTTCAGGAAACATGCAAGAACAAAAAAGCAATGGAAGAAAAAATTAGGCAACTTGCTTTTGCTCTAACTGAAATTCAGCAAGAAATGTGATGGTTCTGAGAATGAATTTAATTGAAATGGAACAGCAGACCTATTGTAAAAATGATTAAATATTGTAATAGTAGTAACTGCTATGACTTTGAAATGTCTCTTTCTACACATTTCATTCTAATTATATTTTAAAAGACTTTTGATCAAGTATTTTTTAATTGTATATGTAGGTTTTTATAATAAATTGTTGATAATTATGTGTACTAGAAAAACCTATCAAAATAACTAGAGTTACAACACTTTCTTGTTTCTGTGCTATACATTGTTTGGTAATTAACACATTTGTCTTCAAATATGTAAATGGAAATTAACATTAGTATTTGGACTATATGAGGTAAAGTATTTTCGTCATTGTTGTTACCTTATTGTGTTGATGAAGAACTAATTATATTTATTGGTCATCCTTTAGTTGACGTAGCTCCATTTTTTTTTAAATGCTCATAAGTGTAGCTGAAAAGTATTTGAAGTCTGTGTGTTAAAAGATACGGCATTCTTTACAAAGCATATGTAGCCATCTCCACATCACTCATAAAGACCCTTTTTTTTTTTTTTAAGGTTTTATTTATTTGACAGAGAGAGCACAAGCAGAAGGAGAGAGAGGGAGAAGCAGGTTCCCTGCTGAGCAAGGAGCCTGATGTGGGACTCGATCCCAGGACTCTGGGATCATGACCTGGGCCGAAGGCAGCTGCTTAACCGACTGAGCCACCCAGGCGTCCCTAAAGACCCCTTTTTTATAATGCATATGACTTCTTCATTAAAGATTACATATAAGGTTTCATAAACATCATCTGTTCTTCAAGAGGAACACTGCTGTTCCACCTTCGTTTTCCCTTCTAATCACTGTATTTCAAAGAATTCTTATTTTTGTCATCTCTTATGTTGCTATATATGCAGAACAAAAACCTAGGTACTATCACTATTTCTAAAAGAAAGAATATAATATCCCATTTTTAACTAACAGCCACTGAACTAAGTTGTTTGGGGTTTTCTTTGTTTTTTTATCATGGGGCTTGAACTCACGACCCTGAGATCAAGACCTGAGCTGAGATCAAGAGTTGGACACTTAACCAACTGAACCACCCAGACACCCCTGAACTAAGTTTTAAAAATTAAATGCAATCAGAAGAGTAAATGTTTCTAAAAGAGAGGGCTCCATTTCGTGAGAGGCAAGCTTCTTATTGAACTCTGTGGGACAGCATCAAGCATACCAACATGCACAATGGAGGTGGGAGAGCAAGGCATAAAAAATAATTGGAAAAATAATAGCTGAAAATTTCCTAAATGTGATGAAAAGATTAACCCACAAATCCAAGAACTTCAGTAAAACCCAGGATAAACACAAAGAGAGCCACACCTAGATACTTTAAAGTCAAACCCGCGGGAAATTCTTGAAAGCAGCAAGAAAATATGATTCATGTAAAGGAACAATGTAATTAACTGTTGACTTCTCATCAGGAACAGTAAAGGCCAAAAAAAAAAACAAACAGTAGAGGCCAGAAGGCAGTGAGTAACATACTTGAGGTATGGGGGAGAAATGAACTATCAACCAAGAATTCTACATCCAGCAAAACTGTCAAGATAAATGCAAAATAATGGCATGCCCAGACAATTGACAAAATTTATCGCTAGCCAACTTACCTTAAAAGAAATATTGAAGTCCTAAAGGCTGAAAGAAAATGATTCCAGACAGTAACTCAAATCCACTGGAAGAAATGAAGAATATTGGGAATAATAAACATGTAGGTAAGTTCTCCTAAGACTGTATAAATACATTTTTCTTCTGTTAACTAGAAGACATTATATACAGCAATAATTGTAACACTATATTGAATTCACAGCATGTGTAGGTGGGCTTTGTGTGACAAAAACAGCATAAAGTTGGAACAAAATATATTTTGCTAGATTAATACTAATCTAAAGATGACTGATAAAATGAATATTGTAATTCCTACAACAGCCACTAAGAAAATAACCCAATTACATTTGAAAAATCAACAGAGTTCCCCACTTCTAGAATGGCAGCACAAGGAATTCTGTGGACGTGTTTTCTAGCAAAACAACCACAACTGGTAAAAAGTGTTTTATTTTTTATTTATTTTTCAAGATTTTATTTCTTTGAGAGAGCAAGGGGAGGGGCAGAGGGAGAAACAGACTCCCTGCTGAGGGGGGGAACCCAACATGGAGCTCTGTCCCAAGACCTCAGGATCATGATCTGAGCCGAAGGCAGACACCAACTTTGCAGCCACCCAGGCGCCCTGTAAAAATTATTTTAAAACACCCATTTAAAGTCTGAAAATTGTCCTAAGATCATACGGCAAATGAAAAAGCATTTCTTCAAGAAAATTTATTAAGTCGCTGTAAGAAGAGCAAAAGCCTTCAATAGATTCCTTAAAATGCCCAGTTTTCACCTAAAAAAGTAGGAGACCTGCAAAGAAATAGAAAAGGGGGACCCATACAGAGGGTAAAAAAGCAGGCAAGGAAAAATACTTGTAAGAGGGCCCAGATACTAGATAAAAGAAGACTTCAAAACCACTATATGTTCAAAAGACTGAAGGAAAGCATGCTTTAAAAGTAAAGGAAGCTGTGTTAATAGAGCTCACCAAATAGAGAATAAAGAGAAATATTTTTTAATGAAATTTTACTTTGGGGGCTCTACAGTGTATTTGAGCCAGCAGAAGAATCTGAACTTGGAGATTATGCAATTTGAAGAAGAGAGACAAAATATTGAAAAATTAACAGAACCTCAGAAATGTGGATCACATTAACTGCACCAACATACAGTGAAGTACAAAAGGAGAGAGAAAAGAGTAATGTATATGAATTCTAAATAAAGTATATATAAAATATATAACCTATTTATTAGAAGAAATAGTGGCTCTAAGCTTGCCAAATTTGATGAAAATCATGAATTTACATTCCCAAGAAGCTAACTTCAAGTAGGAAAAATTCATAGCCACACCCACATAGTAAAAAATACTGAAATTGGAAGAAATGTGAGAAGTCCCCAAATATTTGCAAATTAAACTGCAACTTCTAAATAACCTATGAGTCAAGAAATGACAGAGAAAAGGTGCGATAGAGGAATGGGCTCTGTATTGACCCATGCTGTGTCTGGGGGAAGGGACGTTGCACAGATAGGATTCAAAGGCTCCAGAGGTTTAAAAAATAGTTTGGCTTTCTGAGTTGTGGGGCCCAAGAAAGGCTGCCTACACTGTAACCTATATCTGGATCCAAAAATCTTTTTTTCCCCAGTTGTATTGAGATACAATTGATACGTAACAATGTATAAGTTTAACATATACAGCATAATGATGTATGTATATATTGTGAAATGATTACAATAAGTTTAATAATATCCATAACTACACAGTACATTTTTTTTCTTCTGATGAGAACTTCTAATATCCACTCTGAGCAACTTTCAAATATACAATACACAACTGTTAACTATAGTCATCATGTGTACTACATCCCCAGAACTTAAATATATCTTATGTAACTGTAAGTTTATACCTTTTGACCACCTTCATTCAATTCCCCCCCACTCCTGGATCCAAAATCTTGATTTATAAGTACCTAGACTTAAACTCACTAGTCTTCTAGTTTCTGTTAGTACATACCAGCCACCAAATTCCTAAAGCCAAGATATGCTGTCTTTAATACTGAGTTCCTGCAAGGTTGGGATGTTAGGTAGAGAAGTTCCAGTTTAGTTTTCTGGGGGATAATTGGAAAAGATATTCTACCTGCTCTCAACCACCGAAATCCCAAAATGTTCACTCACATGGCCAAACGCTGAGTAAAGTTTGGGGGAATAGTTTATCCTCTCTTCTGTTCAGTTATTAGAAAATAAACAGCAGCTGCTACCCTTCTTCATTAAACCCTACTAACACTTAAATATCATCAATGCAGTGGACGAAGTAGTAATGTCCTTAGGTTGATATCATTGCAAGTTCCAGTAAATGAATCTGCAGCAATTAATAGATGAGTCTGTATTTTATGGAGTAGGAGAGTAACCCTGCCAAAGTTGTGACTATTTAATTCATTTGGAAGATTTTCATCAAGAAGTCTTGATATCCCATCTGATTTGTGATTTATGGGCTAGGATACCACCACTAGTGGTGGGCCCCAATTATCTCTATTTCTTTACTTCCTTTGGCAGTATGAGACTGCTGCTCATGACTAATTTATGGCTTAAATCACAATGACCAAGGGAGACACAAGCAGCTGAACATACTGGTATAATTGACTCATTTATACATTAAGTGGATGTAACCACCGTTTTTGTCTAAGTGCATGCTCTAGAATACATAGCTTAGTTATTTCGGAGTGCCTGGAGTGTGACTATTCTTTCATTATGGCTCTGTCATGCTGGTGTTTCCAACATTTATTGCCACATCCTGGGATATAAGCCACAGTCTGACCTAATTGCTTCCCATCAGATAGCTCATGCCTTATCCTGCCTAGAACCCCTTAAGATGTGTTGAATCAGGCACACAGCCACCTAAAAAGCAAAACAAACACCTATTTACTAGAACTTAGGAAACGAAACCTAGAGCAGAAACAAATTTCCCTGATCCTTATCTTTACCTCAGGGTCTTGAAGAAAGATAGTCTCCGGGACCCCTGGGTGGCTCAGTCGTTTAGGCATCTGCCTTTGGCTCAAGTCATGTTCCCGGAGTCCTGGGATCAAGTCCCGCATTGGGCTCCTTGCTCGGCAAAGAGCCTTCTTCTCCCTCTTCCTGCTGTTCCTCCTGCTTGTGTGCTCTCACTCTCTGTCTGGCAAATAATAAAATCTTAAAAAAAAAAGAAGGAAAGAAAGAAAGGCTCAGGCTTTCAGGAAATGGTAAGAATCCTATATATATATATATATCCTGTTTATAGTGGGTGTGCTTTCTTTGGTTTTACTGGAAGTGAATTTTAGGGAGGATCAATCCATGGGGTCTTCTATGAGACTCATCAAATCAAAATGTTCTTTTCTGAACGTTCTTTTCCAAGAGGCTGCTGTGCAGTTTTCCAGCGTGACTCCTACCAGGCTTTGGAAGGGCTTATATTTAATAGTTACATTTGTCAGGTTAGTTGTTAGTTACAACACCTGTAATTAGACTGAATTTTGCCTTTTCTTTCTTCAAGAAGTGTATGAATTGTAGTCTTCTCCCACACAGATAGATCTAATTAAGCAGTGCTTTATAAATAAAGTTGGATTTTTTTTTATTCTATCAAGCTTTTGGAATATCCTTTTATTTAAACCCAAAGAGATGATGGCTTTTACAACCTTGAGAATTTAGGGCCTAAATACCATAAGAACCTTTGAAATCTTTCCAGGATTTTGGTTAGTGTCAGGCTATAGTAGATAACTATTTGACATTTCATGGGTGTATGAACCCTCCTCTTCCCCAGTCCCACCTTGCC